TTTCCCTGCTTCCGCTAAGAGGCCCTGTTGGCCATCTGGGAAATGGTTTAGGGTTCTGCGTTTAGGGGCGTTCGGTTTGCTGGTTTTCGTTGGGGTTTAATGTTTAGGAGGCTTGTAAATTGAGGCTTCAAAGGCTTGAGAGGTTCACTGAGCGTTTATGTCTGAGAAGCTTTGCTTGTCTTTCAGTGGACTGTTTGCTTCCTCGAGGGTCAGGAGCCTTGCTGCATTTCCTTCGCTTTATTAGTTCGGTTGGATGGTCCAACGATTAGGTTTTGTCTCGGGGCTTTTGAGTTTTCCAAGTACTCGTCGGGTTCGTACTGGCAACACTTCAGAGTTTCTATACAAGCAAGGTCTTCACGATTCTTGCGATGCTTGCCATTGCTAGTGTAGGGGCCTGAATAATTAGAATAGGGTTTTGGGGCCCATTCTACTATAATCCTAATAAGGATCCCCAGCAATAATATGCGTACCTATTTGGGTCCCTACATTACTCGCTCTAGTGCCGAAGAGATTGCTTGCCCGTGGTCTTACGAAGAGCGCTTTGGCGTCTTGGACAGTACGGCGTGAAACTTTGGGGGTGTCAACCCTCAGGGTCTAGGGCAGGCCGAATCAAGACGGCTTGGGAACCCTAAACCCTACTTATTTCCAAAGCCTTCAACCCTTCACCCAATCCATACCCTACACCCTACACCCTGCGCCGTTTCAACTCACCCATAAACCTGCAGGAAGGGAGATCTCGAGGATGCAGCTTGAATCTTGAAGAACTGCGAAAGAACTGAGAAACGAATGGGCAGGTAGTAGCCTCAATTAGCAAAGCTGGTTACCAGGGCCTTGTAGTGACAAGTGCCAAGCCCTTGCAACCGATGTTTCAGAATCATCTCCGACTTTGTACGGTCCTCGCATTTTCTAGGAAGCTTGCGACAAAACGCCGAAGGTCAGTTATTATCTGTGATCGTACACAAGCCTTATAGACCCTACAGAAATACGCTCCAAACCCAGGCGCACGCAAACCGTCGACCCAAGTCCACACAAGTGCAAAACATCCCCCGAAATTCCAGAGCTCCCTCCCCCTTCCCCCGACCCTAAACCCCCTGACCCCAATCCCCAAAGCCGAGACTATAGATCCCTAGGCGGTGGCCATAGAACCATTAACAATTAGAACAGGGTTTTGGGCTCCTTTAGAGTGTAATTATATATAGTAAGGAACCCCCAAAATAGTATAGGTAATTATTTAGGCCCCTACATTATGAAAACACTCTATATGGGACTTTCCCAAAATAAGGGGTACCTGATTTGGGGT